TCCATATTTCTTCAAAAATGAAGCCGACAATAATATTACAGTCAATGGAGAACGCTATAGAGGCATGACTAATGCTTTTTTCGTGCATAAAGTAGAGGATGTTTATGTGGACGATCTTTGAGTTCCAATAAAATGGCGATACAGCAAACGAAACATTGAAACAATCATTCTATTGAAGGAAACTTTTTGTGAGCGATTTAACATTGTTGATCTTTTTTCGTGGGTTTATGTGGAAGAGCATATGCGACGCGACATTGCTGACATACGGCCGCAATTGCTTCAAAAAGTGGTAGAAAATTTGGCACTCGCAGCTGCAATTTTTTCGAACCAGCCGCGGCGGCCACTTGCCCGAAATCACTTTCACAACATAATGGCGAAACCTTTTCGTTATAATAAAGTTAAATACTTGGCCATAACATTAAATTATATGCGTTTCATTTCTTCTTGAAAACTACATGTCTAAATAACGCCCTTTAAAAGGGGAGAGATCATATACATATATGTACAATATATATAATTGGAATTTTGTAACCGCGGTAGCTATTTTCCGCCGAGCCCCTGTTGATTTTCCAACAAATGGCGGGACCTACACTTTATAATAAGCGGCCTCCGAACGGCTGATGGTTTTTGTATGAGGAGCTTTTATTTCATGTAAGAAATACACTCGGAGGGCTTGACATTCCATACAGAGGGGCGACCGCAACTAGAATATTTAATTTAGTTTTTTATTAAAATTAATTTTCTATAACTTTTGAATGTTGCTCGAATCCTACCCTACCGAAAGGCAGTACAATGAATGTTTGACCACAAGGGCTACCGCGGCCGCCTTCTTTTACCATTATAACAATAGAAAAATTACTACTGTATTACATTTCATCGTAATAAATTATATGTACACGTCTTTTAACCATGTCTAAATTTGACGAGACTCTTTATGCAACTTTGACCTATAACAATTAGAGATAATGAAATTTATTATTTACTTAATATTTGCAATAAAATGGAAAATTTCGAACCGGACTGTCTGTAAAAACACATTAAACAGTTGCTGCTGCTGCCAATCAATATATTATATATACATATTCATCAACAAAGGACTATTTTATAACAAGAAATATATGTATGTTTCATCGCGTTTTTTTTTTTTGTTAATTTATGTTAAAAAATTTTTCAGTTATCTATCACGAGCTTATTGAAAGGTTGAAAGAAAAATTCCAGACATAAGACAATTAAATTATTCTTATCAATAACATTAATGTGCAAATTTACATATATACATATACATATGTATTTCTATGTAAATAAATTTTCAGCTATGTATTTATGTATGTGTCACCGCAGTACTATTGTACATAATCGAAAATAGCAAACATTTTTTTTTTTAATTTGTTTCACCTCAATAAATTGAACAAATTAACAGACATACATATAAACGTACATATATGTATATAGCTGCATAAATGTGTGAGTGGAACGTCATAGCTCACAGAAAAACATAGGCCAAATTAAGAGCGGTAAATTTATGGCAAGGTTTTGCAAAGTTTTAACTTCTCCCTAACATGAGTTGAGTTGAGTTGATGCGACTGCTGGTCAACCCTAGCACACTTAGGCCAATAGGCCCATTGTCATACCACTGAGGCGATATGTATATGTGACTTATTTTTTAAAAAAAAGATAAGAAATTATTATTATTAAGAAAATAATATATTTAAAAAATTTATTTTATATTTATTTTTTTATTTTATTTATTGTAAAAATATATAAGTTCTTCTTTGCAATTAAATTATTTCCCTGAAGCGGTTATTTAATTTATATTTTTACCCAAAGTATAAGAGTTAAAACTTTTAACCAAAATATTTAGAAACAGTAATAAATGTTTTCTGCAGTTATTTTTAACAGTAAATTATTGTAAAAAGCAACGTAGAAAGTCGTATAAGTCGACAGCGAGGTGGTCGTATAAGTTCACATCGAATTACGGAAGGAAATGTCATTAGAAGCAGGGAGACAGTTGACAGTGTCGACAAGGGTAAATGGCAGCATTGGTATATGCTGGGTACCAGACCACAAGAGTGGCGATATAGCTGATGACACTACCCAAATTGCCAGCCATCTTGCGTATAGTACAGGTCTAATGACGGCCCACGACCGCATGGCAACCCATGCAAGCAGAATGGGCATTACTAGCTGTGTAGGAGGATATGTAGGAAATACAGAGTTGCAGGCTTCTTCTGTTACCGTCCGGCTTAGATATATAGGAACTTCTCAGTTCAATAGGCTCGAAAATATTCCGAATCTCTTGAAGGTTGCGGAATTCGTTGACACTCTGTACAATGACTACAATAGATAGGTCTATGTAAGCTCAGCAGACGGCCAGTGTAACCTAACCAATTGTTGAAATAAGGAAGTATTTATTTGTTATTTTTTACTTCCTTATTTAGCTGAAAAGTTAGGAGTGAGAGATCTACTCATTTCATAGTAAGCAAATGGAATACCACATCTAATGTATAACTATGTGTGAAAAAATTAAATTAAATTTTAAAACGGTTAAAGTGCTCAATGTAATATTCATTTAAGCTAAGCTTATAATTAAGCTTATTCTTTATATATAACTAATTAATTAATTACCCCATATGTATGTATATGTAACACCTGTAAAGCAGAACTTAAAATTTATTTGAAAAAAAAAAAATGACTAGAAACGGAAGCAAAGGTTGCAGTCATTGCCGACTGCATATTTAGTCACGAGACACTTACATAAGAACATTCACAACCATATATATGCAATTATATGTATGTATGCACATGAGGTCTGTATTAGGGCGAGTACACAATTTTTTTAATTCTTTCCTTTTTCCTAAGTGAAAATAAATTTAGTGCATTACAAAATATTTGACTCAAAAATTACATAAAAATATATAACCGTGATTTCATTGTTTTATTACTGTTAATTTTAGTGCTTTGCTTAATGAGTATACTCTACAAAATTTATAATGTATAGCATTTAATTTAACACAATAATATTAAAAATTGCGACAAAATTGTGAAAGTTTTTAAAATTCATTATGATGTAGTACAACAATCACCAATGGACTTTTATGAAGAGCTTTTATTTCATGTTAGAAATGTAAAAGAAAAAGTAGTCTGGTCTTTAAACACAGAAACAAATTTAAACATATATTAATTAAATAAAGTTATTCCCTGAAAGATTTAGAAGCTCTAAGATATGGTTATTGATTATTTTGGTATAGTAAAAAGTAATCTACTATTTTTACATTAAATTGGAGACTTTAATTACCTTTGTCCCTCATGGTAAAAAATTTAGATAATTGATTTTCATAGGCTCAATATTTTTAAAGTGGCAAAATGAAAATAAGATATATACAGCAGTGCTTTCCCTGTGGATGTGGGTTGAAATCAACTGCAATTCATACTCCAGCTCTCGCATCCACAAAAGTTTTGCGAATTGAATCCGAGTGAGTGAATTGAAAATTGAAAGTATAAACGTGGGTATGATATTTGTAGAAAATATTTTAAACATCTTTGAGTTAGTATTTTATTGAAAAATTCAAAATTTTAATGATTTCCAGAGGATACCTCGAAGAATTAAAACGATAAACGAAAATTTTTGAATTCACATTATGGAATCTGGTACGTCAGATAGTCATGTAACTATTTAGCGTAAAGGTTTAATGCGTCAATATACATGAAATGAAGTACCAGAAGTTGAGTTGATTTAACCATGCCCGTTTGCCCGTTTACTTGTTTGCAAACTAGTCTCGCAGTTTTTGAAATATTTCAACCAAACTTGGGCCACAGGTGAACTGGTACTTATAAATGGACATTTGTCGGAACCACTATATTTGAGCAATTTTTCAAATTAAAGATTTTGGGTAACAAATTTGATGCTGAAAATTTTAAAAATCGGTGGACTGATAGCTTCTACACACCGTTTTTTTTTTCAGATATGAGGCAGATCATACAGTTCCAACACAAACGATTCCTTTAGATATAAGATTTTGGCTCAAAACCCACCTAAAAGCGTGGGATTTGGTATTCTTCACACGTATATACAAATAATCATTAACCCCGAAATTCATCAAAATTAATGGACTACATGTATCATACAATTTGTTATGGTAATGAAAGGTATAAAGACAAGGCCGAAGATATTTCTCAATTCTTGGTTTTATATCAAATGGAACTACCTTCCTTCTGCTCGTATCATGTCATCTACCTTTTTATTTAATTTTTAGAGAAAATTGTGAAACATAATTTTTACAAATTTTAAAAATTTCTGTATCTTTGCACAATGTTTTCTGTAAAATAATATTTTTCTCTTTGAGCGCAACAGATAATATGCGAACAATATGTATATTTGTAATAATATGTCGTGGGAACATTTAGCAGTTTTTATACATAACCGATTTACCTTTATGTTCCAAATTGTTTTTGAAATTCTATAATTTTTGTTATAAATTATTTATTTAAGAATATTTTTTTTTTTTACAAAACATACCATCCTAATGCATGCACACATGTTCTTTGTATACACAATTGCAATATTTACATATTTACTAAAAAAAAAAACACAACAACTAATAATAATGTTTAAGCCCAAGAAGCAGCAAAACAAAAACAAGCAAATGCTCGCCCAAGTCGGGTTTATGCAACGATCGGCATTTAATGCCATAGAAGTGAAATCGCCGGCAACACAGCGTGCATTATGCGCCAAGTGTCTTGTCTGTCTGCTTAAACGCCAGCCAGCCTATTATGAGTACATATCAAGCATACAAATAATCACTTTGCACAATCGCACGCGACAAAGCACGACATAGAAGATAAGGTGTGAGTAAATGTTATTTTATAGTTTTTTCCGCTTTCTTTGTATCAGAGACAGATTGTGATTGTTTGCCTTGAGTGAGTTTTTAACCTTCAAAACGTACAATACGTACATATCTACATATATACTCGTATATTAGATCTGTGTAAGCGCGACTTACCATTTTCCGCGGTGTAACCCCAGTGCGAGCTCATTTTTTGAACGTTTTAATGAAATTTATATTTTGTTGATTCACTTCAATAAATGCCGCGAAATATTTGTCGTACAATGAAAACACTTTCTTAGCAAAAACAAATCACTGCTATGTACAATATCAACAACCGCAATCAACCGCAATAAATAACAATAATAGTATAAATAGAGTGACGCCGGTAAAAAGAATAACAAATTTAGTTAAACTGGGAGAAGTCGTTTGATTGTTTGTATTTTTTTTTTTATTTTTTTTTTTTATTTTACTTTTTCTTGGTGACGGATGAGATGAACTTGTTTGTTTGAGAGCAGCAACAAGTGAATTGAATTGATTGGTTTATTTGAGTTAGCTTTAAAACCGTGTCAGACTCTTTACTTGCAAGTGGATAGTAGTACCGTGTGATCAGTGGTGAAAATGGAAATAGAGAGCCCCAATGTGTATTTATGTTTATGAGCGACGGAACGAATTTAATAAGACGTCCCACACGTTTGTCTGTCTAAAGAAGACTGTTTAGTGCTGAGGGCTGGTTGTGCGCTTTTTGCTTGCCTGCACCGAAGCTGAATGAAATGAATTAAACTGAGCCACTCAGTCAAGCAAGCAACCAGCCAATCGGCTAGCCTGATAGTCTAGCAAGCGTTCGGACGTTAGTATAGTTGAACAATTTCAGAATTTACCAATTATACACACACATACATATATGCAAGTATATGTGCATATATTTATTTATTTGCAAAAATGTTTGTATGCATATTAATACATAAATTCATTTGCAGAGGGAGATGGAGGTGCATGACTGACTGACTGATCGCTTTTACTCTCTGCGTGTTTAAAATCAACTTGATGCATAAAGCGCAGTAGCAACGACTTCGATGCGAAAACGCATTCGCATTTGAGAAGCATGTAAAAGGCGCGATGGAATCAGCAGACACGGACAGAAACGAAACGAGAGCAAGCCTATAAGCAACAGTATAGTACGCTTGTGAGCAACGACATCTTTACATTTATGTTAGCAGCAACGCTACAGAACGCAAACAGATTAATACCGTTAACGCGTAAAAAATAAAGTAAACAATGGTCCATTAACTTGTAAGCAGGTATAACGACGGCCGTGATAGCCGAGTGCGTACTGTCGTTCGGAAGGTCAGGGTTCGACTCCTGGTCCGAACAAAATCTCCTTCATTTGTTGCAAATTGGAGGAGGAGCTCGGTCGAAAATCGCTCCAGCGGTTATAAAGCGCCAATAATATATGCATATATTTATATCTGTATATATGTATATAAACATATACATATACTTTATAGCAATCTATGTGCATACATAAGTTTTTGGCATCTCATAATGGATACGTCATTATAACAATTAAACAAATACAGCATAAAATAAAAATCGGTTCCATTGATTTTTTTTTTGTAAGTGTAATTTCACTTTACAAACGAGATTGTAAAATCTACCGCATCAACCAAATTCTATCTCGTTCCGACCGTACACAGATCAATTAATATTGGATCGAGTTTCTGTTCGTAAGTACCTTATATAATAAATAATTGGCGCTTTGTAACAGCTGAAGCGATTTTCAGCCGAGCTTCTACTCTAATTTGTGGTATGCCTCTTAATGTAATTCAGGTAAACTTCTGTTAAATCATCTTTATGATATGCCGAATATAATGCTTAAGCACGGTTGCATTCGATGAACCTGTACCAGTCGTGAGAGCCGCTTACGATATTATAACAGTTCATACCAATTGAAACCAACTCCATCCTTACGTGGTCGTTTCGTCATCTACGATATTCGCCCGTATTCATGGCTTTGTAGTACCTGTCGGCAAGAACACATTGGGTTTTAGTTTGAAGGCTGGTCTTTAAATGACTAAATTGACAACTTTTAGTCTAATGAATAGGCTGACAACATTCGCTCTAGCTTTAAGACACGAGAGTGCTGACTTTGTTGTTTGATGACTGCAGGAATCAGATGTAGCTACACAATTACTGAAGTTGTGTAAGTAAGTGTAAGCCTTAAAATAATGAAATGATTAGCATTTTTAAGAGGTAAAAACGACTGTGAATTATTCTGTATATATTTCAAATATCAGTAATTATTTTAAAAACATACGCTTTGGTTGGTTAAGAGGGTAAGTTGTTGATCACACCGCTCTTTGGCGCATTAAAGACATTTAGAAAAATTGTTCTCGACGGTTTCCCTCTCTTTTGGCAGTGCTTTACACTAAGCAGATTCAAACTGACAATATAATTATAAGGAGACTAAACTACCCTTGCCTTAGTGGTCACTTTAGTAGCCAATTCATTAAATTTAATTCAAAAGTGAAATTTTAACACTGCATTTATTCAATTTTTCAGTCCTTTAAGCCCACTGCTATTGTATGATATCTCTATATTTTTTTTTATAAGATTTACAATTGAAAAACGTAACAAAGAAACAATGAATAGAAGTGATTTATATACATAAATAACAAACATTTACAAAACGTTCTCACCTTCACATATATGTATGTACAACAACACTTTCAAGGTTGACGTAACACGTCCTTGTATATGTATTGCATAATTACTCATTAAAGGTATTGGTATAAATAGTTATTTAAAATCTTTAATTCTTATTTCATTTTAATTTATTTTTTTATTTTATTTTTAATTTTTCTATGTAATTTTTATTTTAAAGGTTCAAAAGCTAAGGGAATAGGCTATTTTTGAGCTTAATAGTATATGTAAGAGGAAGTTAAATAGTATACGTTAAATTCAAATGAGTAATAATTATGAAAAATTATAATAACACTAAATGCGCTGGAGCATATTCTCACCGGATAACTTAAGTAACGTATTCTCTTTGAAGCAAGGACCGTAATCATCTTCATATATATTAATATATTGTCTACATATAGCTCTTACGTGGCGGCCGATTCGGAAGGACCGGGTTCAAATCCTGTTGCGACAAACATACAAAAATAGAAAATTAATTAAAAAAAAATTGAGTTAAATTTTCTAATTGCGGTAGCGAATATCAACCTCTCCGAGTATATTTCTGACGTGAAAATCAAAACTTCTCATGAAAAACCACCGGCAGTTCGGAAGCGGCTTCGTATAAGCTGTAGATCCCTCCATTTGTTGGAAAAACACGAAGATGCAAAGCCTTAAATTGGAGGAGAAGCTCGGCCGGAAATCGCTTCTCTGATATACATATATATACATTTTGTCTTACGTTCGTTTATAAAGAACTCGAGAACGATGACGTTGAATTTTGCCAGAATGTTGCAATGGAAAACTTTGTACAAAGATATCGGAAGTTGGGCCAGGGACCAAACTATTTGAAAACACGTCATTTATGGCTGAATTTAATTGAACACCAGAGACTATTCGATAAAAATCGTATTTATAGCTCTTTCTAAATACTTGAAATGATTTTTGACCGGAAATTGACCGATCTACTAAGCAGTCGGATCATAATATATCTAATAGAAGAGCATGAAAGCTTTGAATTATTTTGATTTGCGTCTTATCGTTCTCTGAAATACATAAAAATATAATGTCACAAAAATGTTAATCGGTTGAGTGTGTGGCACAAAATGTCGCCGTCCCGATATATACAACGGTCAAAAAATGTTAGTGTGTAATGATGTTGCTACAATTTGGTACAGACGCTTCATTTATGCTTTTTTCCATTGGCGTAAGCACATTATAGCTGAAATAGAAGTAGCATGCCATTCGTTCCTTCAGGTTGCTCTCCACGTGATTCATCTAATGGAGTAGAAGTCTTCCTCTTCTTCTGCTTCCACCAGTGGAATACTTTAAAAGATGGAGTTCTTTCATACATTCGGAAGGCATGGCCTAGCTAGCATAGCCACTGTCTTTTCATTCGCTATGTGGTATTCGCCATTTCCATTGCCCAAGTTTTGCACCATATAGCAGCAGCAGGAGAGTGATAAGGAACTTGTAGAGTTTAGTTTTGGTTCGCCGAGTGAAGACCTTACTTTTCAATTGCCTACTCAGTCCTGTAGGCAAGAGCTATTCTGGCAGACCTTAAAATGAAAAGTTCTTTAATTTTAATTAAATTATGTATATAGGTTAAATATATCTCAAAACATAAAAAATTATAAATACGGCTCAGTAACGCACACCACACATAGTAAAGTCCAAGAAAAAGATGTATCAGGTGTACAACTTTGCTTCCGCCGTTTTTTTCCAACATTAAAAGCTTTATTGCGAAAAGTGCTTATATTGTCCTTCGCTAGCGACAACTTTCTCCCATCTTTCCGGCAATTTTCGGATCCCGCCTCGAAAAAAGGAGTCCTCTTTTGACGCTATCCATGAAGTAATCCATTTTTCCTATTCTTCAAAGGATTGGAAATGTTGATCTGCCAGGCCGTGTGCCATCGAACGGAATAGGTGGAAGTCAGAAGGGGCGACATCTGGGGAATACGGCGGGTGGGGCAAGACTTCCCATTTCAGCGTTTCCAGGTACTTTTTGACCACTTTTGCGACGTGAGGCCGAGCATTGTCGTGTTGGAGGATGACTTTGTCATGTCGCTCTTGATATTGTGGCCGCTTTTCTTTTAGCGCGCGACTAAGGCGCATCAGTTGCGTTCGGTAGCGATCTCCTGTGATGGTTTCACCCGGTTTTAAGAGCTCGTAGTAAATCTTTGAAGGTTTTTTCTCTTCCACCACCATGTTTGTCTTCGACATCGAAATCACCATTTTTAAAACGTTGAAACCACTCCCGACACGTTCTTTCACTCAGAGCAGCATCACCGTAAGTTTCTGAGAGCATTCAATGCGCTTCAGCTGCATTTTTTTTTCGAATTGTAACAGAAAAGTAAAACCTCCCGCAAATGGCAAGAATTAGGCACATAAACGGACATTTTCGAGCGTGAATAATACGAAAACAAGAACAACTGTCACTGAAACGTCGACGACAATTCGCTAGGCACTGTCCACACTCACTTTAAAGGTTTTATCATCTATGTATTTCAAACAGCCTCAGCCGGTACAGCCACCTATCGGAAAACGGCGGAAGCAAAGTTGTACACCTGACATATATCATGAAATGCATATTATTCAATGGTGACCCTTTTTATTTCCTCATAAATTAGTCGATAGCAGAGGAGCTTACGATGTTCGATCAGTTGGTGAATTTTAATTTGTTTTTGTTAAATCAAAAAATACCAAATCCTTTGAAATTACTTTATTATTATTCTTTTCAAATTTCAGAAAGAGATCGACAAAAATGGAGACGAGCAAACGCAATATCGCTGACGATAGGTCAGGCGAAATTCCATCATTAACGCAAACAGAATCACGCCATGTGATTCTCTTCTCGTTCAGGCAAAATTTACAACTAATACAAATATTCAGTGAATGCCAATTGCATATGAAACGAATGCACCGTCTTTAAAGAACATTTCTAAGTGGTTCCGAAGATTCCGTATCCCTAATAAAAGACCTATGTATTGCTTATAGATATTGGAAGCGTAATCCTACTAATGAACGCTGGACCACAAACAAGAATTTGTGCCAAATAGGCAAAAACTTGTAGGATTGATGCTGGTGCGATTAA